TGGAACTTCACCAAAAGTCTGAAACACATGTCAAAAGAAAACTCTAGCAAACAAAGCTCGAGAAAGTAAGGGCATGGACATGTTAAATTACTGGGCACAGGCACATTACCTCAATATCTATTTTCTTTTGTTTAGAAAACTTGGCTCTTCTCTTCCTCTTCCTCTTCCTGACCCACCATCAAGTGTAAGGCAAGAAAGTGAATCGAAGAAGTCATCCTTAACATACACATTCTGCAGAAACAGATATATCCAGTCACTTAAAACAGAAATAATATACATATATATATATGTAATTTATGATCGAGAAATGCTAGCAGTCTGACCTTCACATCACAATTTGGCAATCCATCTTCATCCTCCTCTCCTGCATCATTTGCACTGTTGTCGTTTTCATTGCCCTCTTCATCTTCCATTCTATTTTTGTTGCTTTTCCTGAGATGACCCATATTTCCTCCTTGTTGAACTTTGCATTCATTGCATCAAAATCAAAATCCTCTGTAAATTTGATAATTGTCGGAGAAACCTGCAAAAGAAAAACGTAGAAGTTCAAAATATACTAAGACAGACTACAAAGAGGAAAACAAAAAAATCCCACATTCTAGCGATGGTGGTGGGTCAATATGGCAATGGTGGTTGACATGGAGTGGTGAGGAAGACAGTGTTAAACAAGAGGGTATAAAAGTCTCTTGAATTTTCCGTTAACAAGCTTCACATTGCATTTTAGTCCAAATCACATGAGGGCTAATTAGCTATTTTAAAGTTAGGAGGTAAAGTACGAAAGGACCAAACCACAGGGGTAAAGTGGATTTTGCCCTCAATACAATTACCATGTTGAAAGATTCCAATGCTACTTTAGCCCATGCAAGTTTTTGCCTAGGGGCTCGAAGTTTCGAAACATCCTCCTTATTCTTGGAACATGAATAACAAAAGAATGAGTTACCTGGAGTTACCTCTTCCACGTGTCCATGACCCCCCATCACTGGATGAGGATTGCATGTACAGCAGTTAATTATAGGCTTTGACAAAAAATAGAGAAAGTATAAACAAAAATAATTTAATGCCATGAGCTTTTTTAATGAATGTACAAGATGATCACTTTGGGAAAAAAGTATACGCGTGCCCCCAATCTTCTCGTACCAAAGACTGAATCCTCTATTACTTTGATGAGGGTGTAGGTAGTTCTGTTTAGCTAAAAGGATATACACAGAGTGCACATATCAAATATCCCCATGACTTCAATCTATAAGTAAAAATAACTCAAATAATTTTAAACAATACTAGCACCAAGCATGAAACATCATGAAATTATTAAAAAAATAAAAATCACCCCTTTGCTCTTACCTTGCATAGCCTCTATAATCGCGTGGTGATTGTGTAAGCAGCTCCATTGAGCTTAATGAAGAAAACAAAACAGCACAAAAAAGCCATATAAGAATACCCGGATAATTTAAGTGAACAATAGAAAATTAAACACCTGGCAATATAGACATGAACATTCTGAAAATTAAAAGACAAGTGACTGATTACCCAGTTGGCTTTTCCCTTTGCGATGTCTTCTCACCGCAACGAGTGTGTGCATCAGTTCCACTCAACTGGAGAAAAAATAACCAGCACAAAAGGCGAATATCAGAATCCATGACTTTTTGGGTCAAAGTGAAACCACTAGGCACTAGCAATACACATTGAAATACTCTCTGGAGAGTGGACTAAATGTAATATTATATTTATATATAAGAGATTACCTTGTTTTCTCTTCCATGTACGTTTATTACTTATGAATGAGAGCGAAAAAACGTGCTTCCATTCAACCTAGAAGAACATATTCAAAATAAATAAATAAAGCTTACATAAACATCCCCAATCAGCAAAGGAGAGACAACAACCATACCTTTTTGGCAGTTGTGATGGGTAATGGACTGTACTGGATCCTTGGCATTTTTTTGAATCCGAAAGACAGCATTTTGCTGTGGATGCTTGAACAACTTCTATTTTTTTGAGCAATCTGCAAATGAGATGAAGAATGTCCCAATAGCGCCAGGTTGTAAAAGCTGATCTGGGGTCAAACAGAGATGGTATTGATGCTCACAATGGATCTGGATGAATGACCCAAACAATAGATGGGGTAGATTTGAGAATAGTTTTTGTTGTAGTTAATGCGAGGTCAAAAAACTGGATTTAGGTTTGTTGGTGACTGGAGTATACAACAGGAATTCAATCCAAAACTAAAATGCCATCAAAGGAGATGCCAATGGTGACACTAGAACCCAAGGCTTACAGTTAGGAAAACATATAAGACCTTTATTGGCGATCAGAAATAAGATGATAAGTCTAGAAGGCAATGTAGGTAGATGGTTTATATAGGAACCGCTTGAAGTTTTGGAGAACTACACAAACCGCTGTGCAACAAGGGACGAGAAATTCTGCAGAATTTTGATGCATCACAAGGTAAGACTGCATTTCATGGTGAGATTTTTGGCATCTGCTGTTATAATAGGAGGAGAACTACTGACAATCCTTTGGGGGTTGAAGAAAGGAATGCCAGTTGCAAATGAGAAACTCCTCCTGAAGGCCTGCCACCTTTGTCTCTTGGCCAAACCAAAGTGCCGCGGCATGAATCCCCATTATCATTTACCAGGTGCGAGGAATGAGGAAATGCACCCCAAAGACCCCTAAGCTTCCCACAGGGTTGGTTTAAGATCGTGAGGATTGCCTTGGAAAGTTGAATTGGGGAGTCGCCAACTGGTGCATGGGAACTGATAATTTGTTGCAGTGTATAGCACTATCACACGGAAGCTAGAAAGATGCTTGATGTTGAGCGAAGGATAATGAGGCGCACGGAATGTCAATGATTAAGATGAAATGATCTCAGTTTATCTAACGTATCATTAATACAAGCCTGATTGTAATCTGTGATCAACATGCCTGTTAGAATAGCAGGGATCATACTGTACAACTGGGGACTATTGAACAGATGGTGAAATATAACCCGCAGTCCTGTAGAGCATGCATGAAGTCGTATGTCATGGGGGGGGGTCAAGTAATTTTTCATACTAGAATGAAACAAAAATATTTCTTTTCAGAGAGAAGAGGAGAGAGAGAGGGCAAAACTCAACCAACTGCCATTGAGAAAAAGGCATGTTTTGCATCACATCTATTAACACAAAATGAAAACAAATAATCCAGAAAGTGTCATTTTCAGTCTCTACACCCACAACAAATTTCACGCATCCCAAAGTGAATCAGCATCACCGAACCGTGACATACCCTCCCATCTCTCTATATTCCCATCTCCAATATAATAAAACAAATAAATAAAGATTATGAAAGGTCCCTGCTAGGTCTGTCAATGAGACACAAAAGGCCACAAAAAATTATAATCGCCAATACACTTTACACGCATATCCAGAACACTTTACATATTTCATACACTTGCACACTTTTTCAAACACTAACACCATCCCTTAGGGCGGTATTTAGCAAAATTTTTCCTTATTGAAAGCATAAATCCAATGCCAATTGTAAGTTTGGTACTCCAAAATCACCAAACAATGACAAGCAGAACTATCCTAGGTCGCTATACATTCCAAGTAGAGACAAAAAGCAAACTGAATGAGATAAAATATTGATATACATAGAAAGAAGATAGCCAGGGGGCCTAACATAGAAAATTCAAATCAGAGTCAAAATATAAATATGACATAGAAAATTCCATGGAATTCCGTTGAAGACATTGATTGATTTTATCTACAATGGGTCACTCCTCATTATCAATTAAGTAAATTCTCATCAACAACCTAGTTAGGAGATTTAGTGGTGGCTTTGAATCCCTAAGTCCTCCATATTGAATTACAAATTTAAACTCTGCTTTTATTAGTTTCATTAACAAAATAACCAATAATCTCAAATTAATGTAAAAGAGGGAATTTTCAGATTTTATAGCAATTTAGTTACCGCAGTCTCTGAGGTTTCTACACCTTACCTCTAGCCAGTTATCCTACATCGGATTTGTTGCTATTGTGAGGTTTAATTTTTTGCAATGATCAGTAAACACCAATGACATGAACAAAATTAAGTAAAACACACAGGATAGTCAACTAAACAACAAACCATGCATAGTAAATTATTTATCAAATCGTAACCTTGATGTCACTTCCTCGAAGATATGTACTCATAAATTTTGTCAACGTTGGAAGACGATGTTGCCCATTCCTTCCTTCGTCCTTCGTTCCAAAAGATTTTACTGGAAGACAATACGTACAATCCATGTCAACCAAAATTGAGAAACACATGTTACAAACTATAATCAAATGAACAAGATAGCGCTTTGGATCCTTCACCTACAGTAAAACATCCCACAGAACAACCATAGCTTACTACTTTTTTAGATTTGTAAGTTTGTAAGACTTGATAACTTACAATTTCCCCATTTTCCTTAAGGCTTGCATTTAAATGTAAAAATATTCAATTTGGTGTATTAAACTCATCACTACAACTGTTTGTTTAAGTAGCAATACTAATTTCTTAAAATCCTTTAGTACAAATTTTATTTTTTTAATTAAGCAAGGAAATTAATCTCTAAAAAGAACTAGAAAAACAAATGAATACCACTTTACTTATTCACCATAGAAGTAGCTCAGTCCAATTCAAAACACCACAACAATGTCTGCTTTCAAGTCCCAAACACACAATATTTAGTGCTTAACATAAAACCATTTCTAAATATATTGTTCCTAAGTCCTTGTGCCACACTGATATGCACTCCAACGCCCCATGTGGAGGTTGTCAAGTTTCAAACCATGTGGGGTGTTGGGATTGATCCCATATTTCCCTTAGATCTAGGTTAGATTAGGTTCCAACGACGTGAAGTATATACTTATATTGGCCATGTGGTCGTTCCTAATCATTCTTATTAATGTTTTGAGCCACCCGAATCTATTTAAGGGAACTAAAATTTCCGAATTATTCAATTATGAGAACCGATTCCACATGCATTCTCATGTCACCTCTCTAAAGCCATTCCCATTTTGGTTAAATTCACCTATTAAACCCTTAATGGGCCTCCACAGATTCAAGATGTTGAATATTCAAGTATTCTAGATATTATATTCACCATAAATGCTTTTTTAGAGCACATAAAATAACTATTTACGATATATTACAGCCTTAAAACAAAAATCAGCTAAAACCCAGACGCACAAAATCAACAGCAACAGCAAAAGCAGACGAAATACGAAAACAATGACTTTGAGAAACAAAAAACCCATGCTACAAAATCAATGCTACAGCAACCAAAATGCACTGATAGCAACAATAACTTATCTAAACAAAATATCAAGCCCTCAAAACAGAAAATCAATGTCAAAAAACCCAGTCACAAAAATCAAATGATACGAACAACAACTACAAAATACGAAACAATGACAACGAAGCCCAGTGGTGAATCCAG